GCCAAAGTGTAGGTGATTTCAAACCAGAAAAGACATGATTGTTAGTGTTGGGCCAAATTGATTGGACTGCTACTTTTTCATATGGCAGCTGAACAGTGCTGTGCCTCCTGTCTGGCACGCACTCACAGCTATGGCAAGCAATCTCCACTCAGGAGAGGTTTGGCATTGAAAGAGCTGCCATATTTAAAATTGGGATTTGAGGAACCATGCAGACCTTTGGTTGCTGAGTAGAAACTGGTCCTATATATGTCTGATGTCAATGACTCAAGTGTTTATCCAGAGTGCTCTGATGCACATGTCCATCTATGTTCACAGACTACAGATAAACATGCAGTCACCTAGGTTAGCATGAAAAAGGCGTTTGGCAAATGAATCTCAAAACTACGAACACAACTGATCCTCCAAAAATTTGTTGAAGGAAAAATAGCACCTGGTATATTTCAGTTGGGAACTGGATTTGTCAGCTAAATCAGGACTGACTTTGCTGCTGCAAGCTGTAATGCTAAAATATACCACTAGTATAGGATGCCCTCTGTGCTTTACATCTACAAGTTATCATCCCAGTGAACTATTACTATAATCGTGTTAAACCAGGGAATACTAAACTATCAAAGTTTTCCTGACTAAGCCAAAGCAGGCAGTTGGGTGACAATGACAGTAGAAAAACAAAGACTAGGAACACTGACTTCTGAATTATTTTTCCTGTCTCTAAACAATTCTTGTATGTAATAGAAATGAGGTAAAATAATGGTAGTGTGGAAGATCCGAGTTTACATATACTCAGCCAGTTATTGCCATGTTGCTGTCTTTGCAATAGCATCTTAAAAAAGGGATTGCTTTAAAAAGCCCCACCCAAAACCAAGACACCCCTAATTGTATGTTGAAACCTATTTTTTCATAGCTTGTCATTACCAAAAAATTTGTTCCTTAAAAGAACTAATTGTGATACAATCAATATTTAAAATAAATTTTACTTTATTTCAGTTAACAACCCATAGTTATGATTTTGTATAGTTAAAATTTTTCTTAATTTCTGATTTAAGAATTCAGTGTTCCCAGATTTTTTTATGTAATATTTGTATTTGACCACTTATTTTTATAATGCTCTCTGGTATTCAGTTTTGCTGTTATGTATAATCATTCAGCAATTTCAATTATGACTGATGGAGTCAGGAAAATTTCACTTTCAACCATATTAGGTTCTTCACACTATTTTTCTCCCAGCTAATTGTAATTTTAATTAGATTGAGCAGCAATTGATTGTACTGATGTACAATTCAATTAATTCCACAGCGATGACTGAGGTTATTTGCTGAGTGACAGCAAAATACCAGAATACATCAAATTTCACAATAGTTATGTACCAGTTCTATTAGAAACAGCAGTCCATTATCTTGTATACCCAAATTCTGATTTTAAAGTCACACCTATTTAGGTATTTTTAACCTATTTCCCATTAGAAAATGAGGATGACTTCACTTGTTAAGTGTAGAGATCATAAGCTCTGCAACATTAAGAAGGAACTTTAAAAACTGACTACACAAAATATCTCTAATTTAAATTTTTCAACAGAGTCTTGGTTTATTGTTGTATGCCCACTGTGTTTTTCCTCCCGTTATTGTAAATCACATATATACAGGGAAAATTATATAGTGATCACACTGCTTATGTGATGGTCTTGTCTTTCAATTCTGGATTGAAAAATAACAGAAAAAACAGATTACACTTCTTTATTTTCTGAACCAGAAAAAACCAGATTAGACTATGACCATTGTAGATGATGTTTAATCTGTATGGACTGTACATCTGTCTAGACTGTAGACTAAAATCTCGTGCACTGATCGGTAAGAATCTGCATTACCCATTCAAACAGGAAATGTTGCATGAAGGTAAAATTCATGCCAGCACATAATAGCAGAAAATGACTTACACCGTCTGACCTAATTCAGAATTGCCAACCTCAAACATTCAAAAATTCAATCATGACACCAATCATGGAACTAATGTAAAATCCTGATTTAAAAGCACATTGATTTTTCTTTTATCTACAGGTTTCTAAGTTCACAGAGAGCAGGCTTCCAGACTTTCCCTGGCAGTCATGAAGGATGGAAACATTGTTTTGAAGGTTGCACTTCTTGCATAGTCTCCAGCTTCTTGGGATCAGTGCTCTGAGAGATACAATAATTTTCTATAACAATTAAAATAATTGGCAAAACAGTTTTCACAGGCAGGGCCTATGATTAGTCACCAGTTATTAGAAAATAATTGGGAAGGCTAATGAGGACTATTTGTTTCCTTTTCTGAAACTGACACTAGTCAGACCTCTAAAGGGTGAAGTCAGCCCTTTGATATGAAGTTGATAATTAAGGCTGCAGACACAGTAGAGAGCCAAGTAGGAAGTTTAACCTGAGTCAGTGTGATGTCACAGGATTGTTGTGCTGCCTTCACTCGCAACCTGCAGCTGCTTTTTCAACCTCTTGGCCCAACTCAGTCCCACCATCCCTCTGCTCCATTTGCCCAGGATCCTGGGGTGACATGATAATGTACAATAATGTATCCACAGATAATGTATCTGTGGATCTGCAGCACATCACTTTGCCACTTTTTCAGACCATGGTTGCTGTACCTAGCTGGGATGGGCAGAGAAGAAGTCCTGTCCAGGCACATAAAAGCTGCAAGGTTGTGGCTGTGGGTCCTCAAGGAGGCTGCCATGGAACTTGGCCCATGGAGTTTGAAGGCCCATGGGATGAGCTTCCCTGCATCAGTAAACAACTACATACCCTTGGAAAATGTTCCTCCCAAGCAAAGAAAGCACTGGTCCTTGGCTTTATACAACTCATAAATTGGTAATGCAGCCTACTGGATCTCCAGGTAAGATAACTTCCTCTGCTTCTTTTCTGTTGCCTTTTTCTACACATTTTTTACTCATGAGAGGGGATTATCAGCTTGCAGTCCTGAGCAAAGTCCAATGTGGGCAATCCCATTTTGCTGACATAATCTACCACAGCAGTGGAATGCTGTATCTGCACCATTGGCTCTGAACTGTTGCACAGCTGTGGCACACGTCAGGGGGTTGTGCTCCTCCCTTGAAATGGCTGCACCTCATGGCTGGAAGATGCAATGCCTGTGTCTCTGCACTGTGCAGAAGAGCCAGCTCTAGATAGAATTTGGTATTTAAGTGCAAAACAGAGATTACACAGCAGAGTCAAAACATTTAACAGCAGTATTTTGAATTTCAAAACTGTATGAAAGATCAGTTTTAACCTTTCAATAGAGTTCAAAAGATGTCCCTCAGCACACATCCACTTTTAAATAAACAGGAGAATCAAGGGCCCTGACATTTCCAAAGCCCAAAACACCGGTTTGTTTTCCTTACATAAATACTTCGAATCTCAGCAACTGTCTACAAAAGATAACGATAGAATTTGTCATAGTTAAATGTGATCTGCTGATAGATTTAGCTTGCAGTTTTACAGCACCTTTGGGGAGCTTTGGTCCATTGAATAGAAGAATTTGGATGTATTGTGAGCTCTAAGGACACGTTCTTCCCCTCAACGTTTTTCATAAATGTCATTGAAGATGCAGCAGCCATGCAGTAAGTGAGAAAAGCAGCTGCCTTACCGTCAGGCTGAATTAGAATCATAGTGCAAATATACTTAAGTGACTCAGCAGTAACTAAGTGAGTATTTGGGATCTACTCTCCCCTGGTAGTGGTCATGTAATTCCCCTTCATCCACATGGGCTTGAACACATGTTTTAAGCAGAAACTAAATATGTAGTGATGTAAACCCTTCAAGATTTTTTTTTTGAGACAAAATACACTGACAAAAGTTTTCTGTTATCTTCTGTTGTTATTGTTGTTTGTGTTATTAAAATGAGCGTTTCTTTTACAAGATAGGGAGAATTAAAAATCCCCCTTTTTTCCCCCCAGAATGCCCAAGGTTTTTTTACCTTTCCACTTGTTACTGACACAGTATTAACAACCCCATGTGTATAAACAGAGTTTATTACACTACTGATATCTTTAAAAGGCAGTTTTGAAAATCAGGAGTAGGGGCTTTTGAAAGAGGTTAATCACAGAGTCATAGAATAAATTATGTTTTGGAAAGACTTCTCAGATCATGGAGTCCAACCTATATTAACTTAGATTAGGTATATTTTCACCCCAATGGACTAACACAGAGCGACCAAACACCTCTGCTGTCTACCTCTGAACTGGACAATGTTGTTTTCCAGATTTCCAACTTACCAGTCCCTCTGTCTGACACCCCTGCTAAAATGTCTCCCTGTGGGAGTAGGTATTAGCTCATACTCTAGGTACAGCAGCTGGTGAGAAAACCTGATGCATCTGGAGAAAAGATCAGGTATTTGTGCAGAAGGAGCCACATCTGGGAGATGGTTGTTTTCTCTGGCCATTATGTGTGTAAATATATTAAGTGTGGTTTGGATCTGCGTGGCTGGGATCCATACGTTCACATGCCCATCCTGTGGAAGCCACCGCTCTGCCAGGCCAGTGGAAAAGCCCAAACAGCAGCACACAGGACACAGAAAATGGGTAGTCATGAAAAATGAAAGGTGGAAAAAAAAATAAAGAACTATAAGCCAAAAGACATGCTATTGTTTTTTTTTTTTAGCCTCCTGTGCAAAACATGAACATCAAGATGAACTGCCTATCATCGTGTAACTGCAAAATAGGTCTATCACACAACCTCTGGGTCTGGGGTTTGAATGTAGCCCTGCTTGAAGCAGCAGTATGAGGCATGCTGTTTCTTTGCCAAAGACATAGATATGTATTTCTATTACTTACCCTTTTTTTTTTCTTTATTTTTACTATATATTTATGCCCTTAAGCTAGGAAAAATATTTATGCTCTTCTCTCCGGTGTATATATTTTCTAAGGACAGCACCACTCTTATGCATATGCAAAAGTGCATGCTTTACATATTTACTTTCTTTATACAAAAGTGTGCCTGCCACATCATGTACTGCTTTCACTTCTGTGCATATTCCCCAAATTTATCATCTTCTCATATTTAGAATGTAATTCTCACTCAAATCACAAGCAGCCAGCTCTTCTTAATAACAGTTATTTCAGAGATAACAGCTAATTATGACATTTTAAAAGGCATACATTAATATTTCAGTAGGCTCAATGTTTTGAAATACTACTCAGGGCAACATCTTGGTTGTTTTTGCAGGGAAACCTAAGGATTCATTCAGCAAATAGGCAGTTAAAACATCCTTCAACATGCAAAACCTTTCTACAGTGTCTTCTGTTCGTCATAAGCCACACTTTGGAAAAAAACCCAGCTTTAATGGATCGTTTCTTAATGTAATTAAGTATATTTAACAACAGTATGCTTCAGAGTCCTTAAATTAGTCCTTTGCCTCAAGACAATGTATTCATCCAAATCCCTCCTTAAAACATTCTTATTCTGTAAATCCTATTAGCATTAATCTGCTAAAGTTAGGTGTGTTTTATAATTTTTTTTTTCAGATACCTGTAAAGCTTTGAGAGCTACTGCTCATTCAGCAGCTTATGATTCCTTCTGGAGGTCTAACTTAGCCTGGAAACTTTGAAGGGTTCATTCCACCTTGCCTTGGACATCCTCAAGCCAACAATGCTATAGGGAAAAGAACAAAGTGGAGGATTTATTGTAGGACGGCATTAGCAAGGTGTGGTAAGAAGGGACAAAACCTAGACTGAAACCTAACTGTGTACTATAAATGCAAAGGAGAGAAGGGATAATTCACCTCTCTTTTATCACTTCCACAGTGCATTTTGTTCTAGAAACAACAGAGACTTTTATCTGAAAGTCCTTGGATGACCGATCCCATTTAAATTCAGCCTAAGCCTCTGCAGGCTGGAGTGAGGCCTGACATGCTGTGAGGTGGAGCCAGCAGGGACCCCAAATATTTTCCAGCTCTGAAAAAGCATGGTCAGATTATTGTTTCAAAAGGAAGATTAACACCTCTCTGAACTGAAATCAAATGCATGCACAAAAACCCAGGAAAGGGGATTTCTGTTCCTCCCTGAGGTGCATGCAAAGTCTTTCTTGGAAAAAAGAAGTGGCCACATTTTCCTTTCAGGTTTATCTCACAGGCAAGTGAAAGGCACTTGGAACTTCCCAAACCATCAGTTAAGTGTTGTGAGAATTTGTAAAAGTTAACAAGGGGAAGAGGGAGTTATTTGAGGATTTCTAAACCATTTTAAGCAAGAGCATGGAAAGATTGCCGAGCACACATTTTTAAATCATCATATTTCAAGCTTCTAAAATCTTTGTCCCAAGATCTCACTACTATATTAAGCTTGGTCATACAAAACAAGACAGCAGGGCTGCTGACTTGAATTTGGATTCAGAAAAAGTGGTGTTGCCTAGCCTTGCCTCCCAAGCCAGCAAATGTCTCCTGAGGAGAACCAGTGAACCAGTACAGCTAACACTCCATCCTCCTCTCCCTCGAAGCTGCCGTGTTGTAAAGGATTTACAATATTTTTGAGTGGCTTCCCCCTTCCTCCCTGCCCACCTCGAGGGATGATCTTTCCCCATAGCCCGGGGACACTACTGGGGGAGTGTGCCAAGGGGAACACTGGGACTGGCAGGTTGGCTATTCCCACTAGAGACCAGGGCCACCACAAGGGGCTTCTGTCCTCTGCCTTTAACCACTCGTGGAGGTCTTTCCTGTGAGTGGAGGGGCACAGCAGCTGGCATGGGCTGGACATACACCAATTGGCTTACCCCAGGGACCGGCCTGAAATGTGCCATGGGAGATTTAGGTTGGGTATTAGAAGAAGGTTCTCAGAGGGTGGTTGGGCACTGGAGCAGGCACCCCAGGGAAGTGGTGACAGCACCAAGCCTGACAGAGTTCAAGAAGCATTTGGACTATGCTCTCAGCACATGGTGGAATTCTTGGAGTGTTCTGTGCTTGGCAAAGAGTTGGACTCGATGAACCTTGTGGGTCCCTTCCAATACAGGATATTCTCTGATGCTGTGGCTTGGGTGGCTGCCATGCCCACCATCCTCTGCCGAGGGCACAACACCGCCTGACCGGGCTGATACACGGAGCGCTGAGGCTGAAACTTCGCCCCGGGCCGGCAGGGAAAAGAAGGGCCGGGAAGAGCTACGGCTGCGGCCGCCCCGCGGCTAATGGGCGGCGGCGGAAGCGCCCCGATACCGCGGCTGGAAATTCCCGGCGGCAGCGGCCCCGCAGTCCCGGCCCGTGGCAGCCCCAGGGCGAACCCCGGCGCACCCCTCCCCGCCCCGGGGCACTTCCCCCGGCCCAGCCCCGAAGCGCGCACGTCCCCCCCATCCCCGGCTCTTTCAGCATTCGCCAGTACTTTTCCCGGGCGCTTTGGCTCCCAGCGGGGCAGCTTCTCCGGGAGCACCGGGTCTCACGGGGATGGATCGGGAAGGAGGCGTCAAGGCTCCTGCCGGGCAGGGCCCCCTTTGCCCCGCCCCGCGGTCCCGGAGAGGTCCTCCCGCAGAGGGGAGGGAGCCACCCGGGCTGTCCCTGCCCGTCCTTCCTGCGCTGGGGCGGGGGAGCAGCGGCCCTCCCGGCGGGCAAGGGGGAGCCCGGAGAGCTCCTCCCGCGCGATCCCGGCAGCGGCAGCGGCAGGAAGGGCAGGGCGGGGGCGGGGGCTGTGCCTGTGCCGGGGGGGGCGGTTCGCGGAGGAGGGGCCGCCGCCGCCGCCGCCGCCGGGCGCAGCAGGCAGAGGGAAGGCAGGGAGCGGAGCTGCCGCCGCCGTTGCTGCCGCCGAGGGCCGGGGCCTTGGACGCGTCCGGCGAAGAGCGCAGGAGGAGAAGGAACGGGAAGCGGGGGGAGCCAGCCGGCCCCTCTCGGAGGACGCGGCCCGCATCCGCCCAGGGAAGGGCAGAGGGAAGCGGAGGGGGAGCGAGCGGGCGCCGCCGCCGAGGAGACAAAGAAGCGGAGCCCGCCTGGGCTGGGAGCCTCCCCGCCGCCCGCCCCGCTCCGCTCCCCGCTGGCCGGCCGGAGGTGAGCGCGACCGCGGGCGGGACGGGGATGGGGCTGGGGCCGGGGCGGGGGCCGGGGCCCGCCGCAAACTTGTGGCGGCCGCGGGGGACGACGCGGGGAAGGGGAGCCGGGAGCGGGGGAAAGGCGGGTGTCACCTGTGCGGCCGAGGCTCCGCGGCCGCCCCGCGCAGGAGGGGGCCGGTACCTGCCGGGGGCGGCGCGGGGGGCCCGGAGCGGAGCGGTGTTCGTTGTGCCACGTCCAGTTGCGGGGGGGGCTCGGGGGCGGCTCCTCCTCATCCTCCCGAGTTGCTGCTCGTGTGTGTGTGTGCGTGCGTGTGACAGCCGCTGCTTTGTGCCGCCCGGCCGGGGGGCAGCGCCGGGCCGGGACGCCACCCCCCCGCACCCCTCGCGGGGCTCCGGTGAATGGAGGCGGCGTATCCGGCGGCCGCGGGGCAGCGCCGGGGGAAGGCGGGCAGCGCCTCCCGGCCGGAGAGCGGCGCAAGCCGAAAGTTTCCCGGGCGGGAGCGGGAGCGCCGCCGCCCCGCACGGGAACCGGCGGGCGGGCACACCGGGCTGCGGCGGGGACATCGCCCTCGGTCCGCTCAGTTCGTTTTTCTTTCCGTCACCGACTTTGGACTTCAGTAGGGCTGAGGCCGGGGATTTGCTCAAGGAGCGCCGTGCGCTGTGGCCTCGGTCGATGCCAGTGTAGGTAAAGGACATAAAGGTAAAATTACATCTCGCTTAATGAGTGTTCGGTCAAGCGCATCCCTGCGTGTTTTGGGAAGAAAATTACTGAAGTTTGTAAGTCTTCTCGCCCTGTTTTTAATTAAAAATGTGCCCAGGCTAACAGCTACCCCTTGCTGGCAGGCTAGGCACTTTGGCCTGTCTAAGATCAGGTTGCTAGATCGGGATTCAGGTTTGTAGTTCAGGTTTGACCTGCAGCTGGCTGATCATGAGGGCTCTCGGCTCTAGTTTCTATGTTAATATCTTCCACTGTGTTTTAACAGTAAATGTGGTTCTCTGTGTGCATCAGGGTTATTCCTTGAATTCTGTGGAGTATTTCACTCGGAACTATCATGTTTTTGTAAAACAAAGAGAAACCTTTTGTTGTTTTAAAAGTTGTATGGTGACTGAAAGTCGGCAAGAATTTAAAGCATTCTTCAGCTTGAGCGGTGTTTCTTCCCATGAAGCATTTTTGTTTCTGAGGAACATACTGCTGCTGTTCTAGCAGCTTAACGTGGGAGAATTAGACTTCTCTTTCATGAAATTTGGTAGTGGCCTTTGTAAAAACAAATTTTCATGGCCTAACCATGCGTGGTTTGTATCATCGGGAGTTTGGACTGGTAACTTAATATGGAGGAATTTGAAAGGACTCACTGGGTAGGAGATTATGGAGAATTTCTGTTTGAAAGTACTTGTTTGCCATTGCTTTTTAGGAATCTGAAGCAGTCAGCACCACACAGATGATGTTAATGGTACTGTGTTTTCATTTTTAGGATTATAATTTCTGATGTAATGTTGTTGCTTCTCTGAAATATTGATTTCACAACTCTGGAAATCGAAAGCTTCTGTCTCACCAAGTGCATTTAAGAAGTTAAGCAGATCCCTTTGTCTTTGTAACTGACTTTCTTCTTGTGACTTTGACAGAAGATGTCACTTTCGGGAACAGTGAATAAATGTAGCAATAGAAGGCACCTGTACCATGAAGATGAAGTCTGTAATTAGCAAATATTTTTATATAGGCCATGAAACAGATACAGATTCATTATAACGTTAGCTTTTATTGCTGTTGTTCTGTCATTGCAATATTAGCTGTTGCATTTGCCTCCTACTTCTACCAGATTACATTTCCAATTGCTTTTGTGAAAAAAAATATATACACAAAATCTTTTTTGCTGTGTTTTCCCAAAACTAATAGCAGTTAGCCCTTGATACCCTGGATGATCCTTTTTACTACGTCTTGGCTACTGAACGTATGATAAATTCATATTTTCAGCCTTTGCCTTGTTGCATTACAGGAAGGGAACTTATCTCCCCTTCCTCTTTTCCTCTCTATTTTCCTGGCTAGCTGTCTGAAAGCTTAAGGAAAGGTGTTTGCTCTCTTCCGTGTCACCTCACATCTTCTGTTAGCTAAAGAAGAGGTACAAGGTCAGCAGTGTCTGCTGCTTTTCCAGCCTTTGTTTTTTTGTTTTGTGCCTTGTGTTGCTGTTGGTATGTTAATCCTGTGTAGTGCTCATGGCTTTCCTCGGTGGAAACTATAACAGTGACGACTCGAAAAGTGATACTCAGATAGCTCTGTTTGCTGGTCCTGGTCTTGAGCAGCAGCAAAACTACCCAGAGTATCTGCATTTTTCATGCTCCTTGAGCATAAAAGCTGCTTCCAGACTCATGGAGACAGGTGCTGTATCAATTTACTTGCAGCAGGTTTGAAATCAAAACCAAGGCATCTTTGAATGTAAAGCATAGGTTCTAGAAAAATATTTTCTCTTTGTATTGAGGTTTCTCTTTGTATGATGGTTTCTAAGCTGTGGGTGTTACCTAACCCCACTCCCATTGTGTTTTGAGGAGGGGGGATTGCCGATGTGGATTTATTAGAGGTGTTTGAGGGAGTTTGAAAACTGAAACCAGGCGCTGCTGTGTTTTGGTTAGTTTAGTGAGCCCAGGGTGAGGTGCTGGTCGCTGGACACCCTGCTCCTCCAAAGTAGGTCATCTGGAATGGCAAAGAGATGGAGAGTTGAGGCGCTCTGCAGGAGAGCTGCTATCTGCTTCTCATCAAATAATGAACTTAAAGGTAGTACGCTTTGTCCTTGTATTTACTAGGTATACAGAAATGTTGTAGAATGATAGCTTCCAGGGAGTGAAAGTCAGGAATTCTTACTAGTTCCTGAAGTGAACAATGTTTAGAGAGCTGAGATGGTGTTTGCAGTGGGGGAATAGCATTGTTTTGTCATCCTGAGGTGAAGAATTGAGGCCTGCACTAATCATTTCACCTGTGCACCGTTGTCCAGTCTTTACTACATGAGATCCCACTACACCTTTTGAGAAATTACTTTTCTGTTTGTTTTGCTTTGCAGATTTCTGCATGTTGGCCTAGGAATCCAAAGCTTATTTCTGTTTTAGGTGGTTCCAGTTTAAAATTTTCCTTCAAATTAATTAGGCCCATTAGTTTTCTCATAATAATGTAGTCAACAGTGTTCTGCCCAATTAAACTGTTGCTCTGTTCGGTAGTGTATAAAGTAATTCTTCAAAATGGTAACTTTATGTTGTTTTGGTTTATTTTTTCCTTAAAGTTCTCTTTTTTCCCCATCATAAGAATTCAGAATTGTTTCATAAATGCTAATGACATGAGTAAGTTGAAAGTGCATTGCAATATGAAGTATATATTTTTATATTCAGTTAAGTATATGTGACACAACAAATCAGTTTGTTTCTCGCTATTAATGGAGTTTATAGTTTAGACCCAGCATAAATAATAACTTTGTGTGCAATGAGGTGGCCTGACAGTGTACATTTTAAAGCTTTCATAAAGCATTGAGAATTTTAAGAATTGAGGTGCAGAGGAATAAATCTTGATTAGAGAATAGCAACCCATTGCATTTTAAATTACTGCAGCTATACACAAAACCCTGGTGTCAAGTAAAGTTTTAGAAATACTTATGCTATGAAAAACATTTGTTAGAGTGGAAAGTCACGCATGCTGGTATAGCCTGTATTTGTTCACAATTGTAGAAACGTACTTTGTGGCTTAGAGGTTTTTTATTGCACTTTTTTGTAGGTTTGCTAGGCTGGTTTTGGTCCTGATCTCCTTAGCCGGTATTAATATGGTGACATGTAACTACTGTTGATTATTTGGTGGAGCAGACCATGTGGTGAACAAGGGACACTTGGCAGATCCTTGAATTCTCAAAAGTGATGATTCGCTCTTACAATTGTGACAAAATACAGGTGCAAATTTAAATGCTATGTGGGTGTCTTTTTACTTATCCAGTTTTCCTCAACTCTTATCAGTTACTGTATGCAGGGTACACACAACCACAGGAGCAACCATAGAAACAGACATGAAAACAGGCAGTGAGATAAACCACAGATAGAATGTAGCAGAAATTTTATTAGACAAAAAAAAAGTCGTGTTTTACAGAATCAGGTAGCAACTTGTCTTAGGCAACCTCCTTTTAAAAATATTTTTTAAATTAATTAAATTAAATATGAACTTTGTTTCAAATAATGTTTTATCAGAAAGATATAGTTAGAAAGCCTGTTGTGTTTCAGCAGTTGTACTGTTTGTATAGGTGGGGCATTAATAGCCAAAAATAAATGAGCAGGCCTTCAGTTTATTACTTTTTTGATAGAAAGGCAGATTTTGGCCTTCTGAGATGTTTGAAGTTTCTACATTCCCGAAATGATCAGAGTATTTATGAGTGCCTTAGTAAAGAGAAGTGACACAAGTGTGAAAGCAGGTACTGAAGTTTATGGGGAAGCTGGAGGCTGTGGATGCTCTTCCTGATGCTGTCCTCCGAGTCTGGGTCACGTCCTCTTACAGTGTGAGAAGCTGCTTTTAGCTGAGTGCTGTCTCCTGCCTGTCTTTCCCTATGGGTTACACTGGGTCAGCTCTGTGCAAATACAGAGGAGCCATCAGAGGCTGCAAGAGAACAAAAGCAGGTGCTTTTTGCTCATGTTGGGGTGGGATTATTGGTTCTGCTAGCAGTGCATAATTTAAAAAGTATGTGTTCTGTTTTTAAGAAAATGGAAGCAAGCTCTTGGAAGAAAATTGTCAATTTTGCTTTGGTTTTAACTATATTGTTGTTATTTGTTATTTTCAAATGGTCATTAAACCTTTCCTTCAATATAAGATTAGATCCTTGCAAGGGTGGGAAGGTTTAGAAAGGAATAATGGTATTCATTAAGCAAATAAACTATAAATGAACTATAGTAGGATTTTGTCGCTTTGTTTTTAACTATATTGTTGTTATTTATGTTATTTTCAAATGGTCATTAAACCTTTCCTTCAATATAAGATTAGATCCTTGCAAGGGTGGGAAGGTTTAGAAAGGAATAATGGTATTCATTAAGCAAATAAACTATAAATGAACTATAGTAGGATTTTGTAACTCATCCTTGTCAAATTTAAGTTGGCTGAAATAATGCTATTTGTATACCAATTAAGTATTAGTTAACTATATAGTAAAATAAAACACTTAATTCCTTCAGTCTTTCATAAGTTTGGGAGAGAAGAGGAACACTGTGTCCTGTTAAAACCTAATCTGTATATGGAGAGCTAAACTGCTCTAAATTTTTCAGAGCATTCTGGACTAATAAGCGTTTCAGGGAACAGTAATAAGTGAAGCCTCCTGTTTAGCAAAACCTGTCACTGATACCAAAGCAGATCCCAAGCACTGATCATACTGAGCTCTTGGTTTTAATGTAGTAAGAATACCCCCAGCATACCATGGCTGCAAGGTTTTTCCTTCCTGTTATTACAACAGCAGTGTGTCCATCACACTTGTTTTCTCCCACATCCATTGTGTGTCGGACTTGGCTCCCAGTGCCATCCTGGGCCACTGCTGTTTCAGGGGAGCTGACTTCTTAGTTGACATCCTAATGATGTTTAGGATGACGACAAGGAAAGTATTTTTCAACCTCTTAGTGCAGAAGGAGATACGTGGCTCTATGATATGCTCTTGGGCTGAATTTTGATAGCTGTCATGACAACAAATGACACGTTCATTTCCCTGAATGGATGGTGTCCTTCCAGACACACACTGAGTATTATCAAATTTGACAGGGCTTGAATGATGGCGCGTCAAGGATTCTGGATTCCACCGCAGGAGACTTGGGCTGCTGCAAATGCACACTGCCACCTGGCTTAGCAAAACTTTAGGCTTTTTCCAGGTTTGAGTTCAGGTTTTTTTTAGCTTGTTTTTACAAGTATCCTTTGAGTTTTCATTTTAAATAGATTTAATATTGGTTGAAAATTTTGTTGGTAATTTTAGATTGAAAATTTGTTTGCTAAATAGTAGAAGAGGAAAAAAGGTGGTTGGAGTTCATCCAGTCACTTTAAAGATGCATGTGTTTTAAATGCCTTCAGTATTTTTAGTAAAAATTTCAGCAAAACTGGAATGATAGATTTTGTGTATTATTTAGGTTGGAAACAAGCACTCTGTTCACGGATTTTTTTCATTTTGTGTTAGTGCTGTCAGTCAGTGATGGTACAAACACTCCATGGTAGTTCAGCTGAGAGTGCAGGGCCAGGAGCTGACACCTGTGTAGATGGGCTACAAGCAGGGCCAGTCAGTGGCACAGATGGCTTATTTGGTTTATTTATAGGTTT